CCAGACGTCGCCTACGGTTTGGCCGGGCACGGTTTGGTTGGGTGATTGGATGAGCTGGACTGTGACACGATTAGCTTTGGCGATGAAGAGAAGACAAACGTGCTTACCAGTATCTATGACAACCTTCTCCAGGAGCGGGGCCGCCGAGAGCTTGAAATCTGGACCTTGAGTGCCGACATCCACATTCAGGTATGCGACGGTCGATGCTGACAACCAAGGCAAGTACTCCTCGACCCATTCCGTCGAGCCGACAAGCCCGTATTCCTCGCCGTCCCAGCTTGCGAACACGATTGTCCGCAGGGGCTTCCAGCCGGCGCGCACAGCAACGCCAAAGCTTCTGATGACCTCGTTGAAAGCCGCAGATCCGCTGTTCGGGTCACCGGCGCCACCTGCAATCCACGCATCTCGGTGGTTCCCCAGGACAACAACTTCATCAGGAATGCTGCCGTTGATGATACCGATCACGTTCCAAAGCGGCGTCGTGACGTATTCTTGTTCGTTGACGAGATTGACGGAGAGGTGATCGGGGGACGGTCCGATGTGGTACTCGACGCCCTTGTACCCAAGTCCGCCGTCTTTCCAGTTGATCGAGGAGGCTTTCGGTCCGTGGCCGTTTAGAGCCTTCAGCAGCGGGAGGGCATCTTGGTAGGAGATGGGAATGGAAGGAATAGAAGGGATCGCGTGCGAGGTATCCTGACGGGGAGCACCGGGCTTGGAGGGGTAGCCTGGGGTCGTTGGGTCGCCCGGGGCGAAACCTGCGAGGAATGAGCAAGACGTACGGCGGTGAGGTGGAAGAACTTACTCAAGAACTGGCAACTGCCTCGCTGAACGCTGCTCGGCTGGCGCGCCGGGCCGTCGGGGTATGCGGCGTAGCCATTCGCTACGGTGACTTCGCCATCGTCGCCAGGATCCGTGTAGATGATGGCACCAAGCATCCCGAGTTCCTGCGCCCTCTTGACCTTGAGTCCGCGGAACACGCCGCCATACTTGGCGAGCGCGATCTTGCCCTCGAGCGTGACATTGGCAGCCTGGAGCTGCTCGAAGTCCCTGTACGTGCCGTAGTTGACGTAGACGTAGCCAGCCGTCACGTTGCCCGAAGCGCTGTATCCATGGAACGTCGGGACGCGGTCCTTCAGCCCACTGGTTGCATCCTCCTCGAGCACGTCCTCCTCCAAGCTCGCCTCATACTTGATCTTCCACTTGCCCTCGCCCTCGCCCTCGCCCTCTGCAGTGTCCTTGTCGTCGTCGTCGCCCTTTTTCTCCAGGAGCGCGAGGCGGTGGCCCTTGGGGTAGTTGAGGTACACGTCGTAGTCGACAATCAGCGAGCTCACGCCGAACTCCTCCCACTTGTCCTTGGTCCAGATGGCCTGGCTCAGGTTCTTGCCGGCCAGGTGCGGGCCGCTGGTGTAGTACCGGCTGTACTCCCTCGCCTTCTCGCTGTCGGGCGTTTCGGTCAAGATGTCGACCAGCGCTTCGTAGTCCAGCCCGGTCGAGTACGGCCATCCTGGGGGCAGCTTCCCGGGCAAGACGCGCGATATGCCCGCAGCAGTGTCCGAGTCATCGTCAGCAAGCGGCAGGAAGTTGAGGATGAGCACGGCGGCAATGAGCCCCGTGAACAGCGAAATGGACAGAAAGAGGGTGCAGATGTAGCGCAGGCGGTGGTGCGGGTAGCGGTCGCGGTGGGGGCGCGTCTGCACGACGGCGATGAGGGGCGTGCGTTCGTCGCTCATGGTGGCTTTTTCGCTGCCTGCACGCGCAGGCATTGGCATTGTACGAAGCTGGAGAAGACGCTGCCACACGACGTGGTTTGGAGCTCGAGCTTGGGCGGGGAATTGCGAGCTTCTTGCGCCATTGACCTGATTGGGGCCGAAACGTCATCGCCGCGATTGGTCAGGGAATGATGTTCCGCTCCGTCCCAACTTCCAACGTCACCCCGTCACCCCATCCTCGTTTACTCTTTGGCACTGCCCACGCATCACTTATGCACAAGGGAACATACGTTTGAGATGCTTTTCACTGCCAGACAGAAACGCCAAACTCCCAATCCAAGCCCCAACACCCTCCCACCGCAGTGACCATCTTGCCTTCGTTCGACGGATGTCCGTGGACTCTTGATGCACGATGCTACAATCGTTGACGATGGCGAACGTGAGGGTCCACCGAGATTGCCAGCGGTTGCCGGCTTGCTGGTCTTCCTCGGTCGAACTGAAGCAGAATCAGCATCTCTTCCTTCAGCGCTGCAGCATTTCCCCTGACCAACAGGCTCAACAAGAGAGCTCGAGAACTTGACGAGTGTCAAGGTTTCTCCGGACAAACACATTCTTCTTCACTTACGGCTTAGGATCCCTCGGCAAAGAGGCGGCGGAGAAGCCGGTCCAGCCTCGCCAGCGCCCTCCGGGCCATCACCTCCTGGAGAAGGACACGGAGGCCCCTTCCGAAGGTCGGCCCACCATTGACCCTCTCTAGGGCGAGGCGGCTGGTCTCCTCTCGCAAGTACTAACCCAAGTCAGCGAATTCGTTCTTTTGCTGTTGGTAACGACCTCGGAATCCTTCCACACCCTTGCTTGTGTATGGTATGTCCAAAGACGCATGTGCCGCGACCCTGTATGCTTGTGGGAACTTACGTGCTCGTAAAACAGCCACCACGAGGGCTGCCCCTGCTCGTCTGGAAGCGTGTTCCGCCACGCTATGAGAGCGTCTTCTAGGACGCCGGTTCGCGCGTTACGGATGCTGATGCTCACGGGGTCGAAGCGCGCGTCCTCCCCGTTCCAGCGGATGTGCTCCGCGAGCAGGTCATTCAAACAGCGCCACTATGTCGTATCAGTCGCCGCTACACTCTCTTTCGTACATTGTTCGACCCTTACGTTGCGGATGGCCTCGTCCAGCCACGAGTCTCTGTCGGGATCGAGGAGCTCGACCCAGCTGGGAACATGGTGGGGCGCGGCCGCCGCGGTGTGGTTGCCGTTGCTGCTGGACATTCCCGACGACGAATTAGCTAACAGAACCTCCAGGGAGTTGCAGATTCCGCAAGGGGACAGCTTTTGAGGCTGCTAAGGCTGTACTTACTGCCGTTGTTGGGCGTGTTGTGGGTGGGAAGGGAAAGGACGCTAGACGCCAGGCGGAAACCACCATCGACGAGCCTGCCTCCACGGCCGGCCGGCCGCAAAACGCACTCTGTGACCGCGAATGGGCTCCGCCATCTGCTCTGATATTACGCTTTCCAGAGTCCAAGGGATATCGCAAGAAACTGTGTTACTTCTACGTTATGTCGAGGTTCTCGAATCCCTTTTCTGTACCTATGAACCATACATCCTGCGCTGGAGCTTCCACTTCGTACATCTTAGTCACTTAAACCTGTATCCCATCCACGTAAGTTGCGTTGCTTCACACTATATCTCATACATAGTCACGTTCAAGAGGAAGGAGTGTTTGGTGAAGGATCTCGAATTAAGAAAAGAAAAGAAAAGAAAAGAAAAAGAAAAAAAGACCCCAGAAAACCACAGCGCCAGATGCCCCCCAAAACCCGGGGCGGTCATCATAGCCCCGAGGGCAGAGACAAGGTGCTCTTGAAGCCCGAAGGCAGACTGCTATTCAATCAGCAACTATCCTTCGGTCGAAGCTGGTCATAGGGACAACAGGAGAGTACTTACAACTCGGTGTGGCCAGGCCTTGCGGCCGGCGGAGAGGTCGCGCTTGCCCTTGGTCGAGCTGGATACTTGTTAGCCAATCTCCCCACACCTTCGTGGGTATACTTACGGCCTAGGTATCCCAGCGGGACAGCCTTCCCTCCCCCACGAGGCGGACCTCCACCGCCCGGGCGCGCTGGGTGGTGATCAGCTAGGTACAGATGGTAGCAAAGACGTATCTTACCTGGCGAACCTCCATCGCGCGCGCGACGATGTCGAACGCGGCGGCGAGGAGCGCCTCCTCGAGGTCGCTCAGAACGCCGTACCCGTGGTGGCTGTTCGGGGCGCCACCCCCTCCAAACATGAAGTCCCGCAGGACTCTCACCTGCCTCGCCTCGTCCCGGAGGCGCAGTACCGCGAGGCACTGCGCGCGGGTGAGGGTGCGGCGGCCGGCGGCGGGCGCGGTGGTGGTGGTGGGGGTGGTGGGCGCGGTTGACGACATGTTGACTCTGTCACATCTTGTTAGCAATTCTAATCTCTGTAGAACGCTCTACGAGTTGCAGCAGCTTGAAGGGGACTGCCGTTGGGGCATACTCACGTCGTCAGTTTGGGGTGTTGCTGGAGAGGGAAAGGTCGCTAGCGGGCGCGCATATAACACGCAAGGCTGCCTGCGTTCACTCGACGGCCACGCTAGCAACGACCGTGCGTCTGCTGCTGGCTCACCTCTGTACGTCCGTTGCTAGGCATCCTTGACGGAAATACAGCTCACTGACGGCCGCGTGATGCAAGAGCTTCACAGCTGACGTAGAGCTTCACCCTAGCTATCGGTTTACAACGGCGTTTCTCTCGTATTTCCATAGCTATTGCGTCGAATTGGCACGTCTTTAGCCCTCGTTTCATTGCAAACTTGCCCAAAATCAGAGTATTTCTTCGCCGATTCGGACTTTTCTTCGGGGCAACAAGTGCAATCTGGCTCCGTCATTGCCAGACACAACCTTTTGAAGTAAGATGCTGCGCAACAGAGCAACCCAAGCCAGATCCACAATGCGTGGCCTACGGGGACAGCCTACCAGGCTGGCAATTGACACGTTCGAAGTCCCTAGAGTTATACCATGCCCCACAACGCTGCCAATAGTACCAGCTATAGCTAGTTTCCTCCAAGCATCCTGGCATGCTATGATGTTGCTTCCGCCCTATCTCCCGTTTGCCCTCCCTCCCACCGCTCCCCAATCTCCCCCATCCCCCCACCAACGCCCTCACTCACTCGCCGCCAACGCGCACCCACCACCATATCCCTCCTCCTCCTCCTCCTCCCCCTCCCCTCCACTGCTGTACATATACCACGTAATTGCAATTACATTCATCAATCAAGTAGGACGAGTAGCTCAGTGGTAGAGCGCCCAGCCACAAGGCGGTTGTATGATGTTGGTGCGGCGGTTGTACGATGCTGGCGGCTGGGAGGGCACAAGTTCGACTCTTGTCTCGTTCATCTTTTTTGCTGGGCTTTTGTGGGTGGGGGGTGGTGGGTTCTACTGGGGGGAGGAGGAGAGTGTGGACTTTTTTGTTAGGAGGGGTGCAGGCTACGTAGAGACGGAGAGGTTTTTGAGTTAGGAATTGAGAATACTTTCTAGGAAGAGATGTGAGTGCGTTGTGGGTGGGTGCTGGATCTTAATGTGGTGCGAGTGTGTGGGTGGATTGGGTATGACGTGTGAGTGAACGGGGAACTTCAATACCAACGCGAGACTGATTCATGAGACTGAAGGATAGACAATAGCATGTTAATGAAGAAGAAACCGCCTTCGTCTATTATGGTCACAGACTACAATAATTCCTGACCCTGATCCATGCTCGAAACCTAACGACTTGCAAGTTCTGGTTGCACAGCGCAGCCGGAATCGACACATCGGTTGGGCTAGAAGCTTCTGTACTGACAGCACCGCTACCTTCCAAAACCTTGAAACTCACAACTTCATCCCCAAGCCACTCCACCTTCAATTTGTTGTAGCCCTCCGCAAAGTCCGCTATCCAGCTCTCAATCACCATTGCTTATAAATGCAACAAGTTTCGTCCTCCCAGAAACCACGACAACTATACGCTAACAGCATCCTCCGCATTGTCGAAGGTTTTCGGCTTCCAAAGCCATCAGAACCACAGTCACCGTTCCCCGCAAGGGTATGGTGCCAAAACGCACCCTGCACTACTTGCCGCTCGGCACTATATTCACGGTAGTAGTATCCTCCATTTCCACGCCTGAAAGAAAGTCCCCAGAACCTGCAGATACTCTTCTTATGATCGTAGTCCCTAACATATTCCAGAATCAGCGTTCCCGCAATTGGATCCTCCCACCAGTTCCCCATATAATGACTTTCACCAGCATCATTCCACGTCTGCAGCTTCATCATATCCGGCTGCGAGTCCAGCGCCTGCTCAAGCCTCAGCTTAAGGTTTTTTCGCTACAGCGGTACCAGTCGTTGTCGCTGGGATCTATGTGCTTGAACTGCAACGGCGAGACGCCCCTACTTGTGGGCGGCGCAGAGACAGGTTGTGTTGTGGTGGAGACTTCTGCCTTCCCTGCTTCGGCGGTGGACTGTGAGTTCCAGTTGAAGACCGCACCGAGGGCGCTACGGGTGGAGGATAAGTCTGGGCTGGAGATGAGGATTTGAATGAGGCCCAGGCATCGTTTGAGATGGTCTCGTCGTTGAAGGTAGAGACGAGGGGCTTGCCGTTGTGTTTGAGGTAGGAGGGCTCAAGGTAGTCAGTCCGTGTATCTTCAGGGGTCAGCGAAGCGGTTGTGGTCGAAAGAGAAGTAAAGTCTAAACCCGGACGCGTCAGCCTGGTCGAATACATGGCCGACAGTGTTAGCGGCCCATGGGTCTAGCGGGTCTCCGATTGAGTCAGCACGTGTTCAGTGAGTAGGGTTAGGTTTACCAAGGCTCAGAGCGAAAGCGTCGATGCATTGATGATATCCTGGTTTGTGTGGTCTGGTGTGGTGTTCCTGATCATGTAGTGCGCGAAGCTTTGAGAGAGTGTGTGAAAGCTTGCATTGGCTTGCTGGGGTTGTGTCGTGCGGTTGGCGTTGGGCTGAGTGAGGCTGTTGTTACAGATCTAACTGCTAGAAAGACATGCAAGTACGTGAAGGAGTAAGGCACGAAGTATCTGATTATTCAAGGTTCGATGTACCCGGACGGGTATGGAAAGATGAACAATCTTGAAGAAAAGTAAGGCGGACCTATTTTTTATTCTTTATGATTGCCCCTACAGTGCGATGGCTTGTGATTTCATGCATGTACATAGCCACGCGTACGCGAAGTCTTCGCCCTCCCCTGTTTTGAGAACAACAATGTATGTGGCCTCAGTAAGATCTATTTGATGTAGGTCATGGGCTTCGGGTGTGTACCAATACGACAAGCTAGACGCTGTGATTAGGCTAATGGAACGCTTCGTTTCCATGTAATCTAATATGTGCAATGTGGCGTATTTCAACAGCACCAGGGTGACGATGGACAAGAGGAGCGCGCAAAGCTGCTCGTTTAGTCTCGAAACCCTATATCTATTGGGCGACCGTACCATGGATGACTTCGAGCTGGAGATGCCAGGTATCAAGAGTATGTGCAACAGGGCATGGAACGTGTTAAGAAGAGGCAACAGCAGCAGGCAAGAGGAGGGCGATGAGGAAAACTAGAGCGATTTGCTAGACCATCAGCAGAACTGGCCGATGGCAGGAATGGCGAGCGCATACGCATCAGGACGCTAGTACACAAACTAGAAGCACATACACGCATAGCCACAACTGGGTGGAAGTTCGGGCTTGAAGAGATGCGGGACAGCATCCTGGGGGGCCCTCCTGGGCTTGATGTGCGCGGGCGACCATCTATAACACCACTTTGAACCTCACGTCCGATGGTCCCGAGGATCGTTCCTATGGGTGTGTCGTCTTCAAAACAAGAGACTAAAGAAACGCAGAGGGGGTGGACCAATCACACTGGGGGGGGGGGGGGGGGGGGGGGGGTCGGAACATAAAGCGAGGGGTTGGGAGCCCCCATCTTCACTCCACCAACCATAGCAACCACGGGCCTAGGCGATGCCGCAGTGTCGCTGCCGCCAGGTCGGTTTGTTTATTGTTGGATCTCAGCCTTAACGATACCGAAACATCAACTATCAACTACCTCTTCCTTCACTGCAGTCCAATACTATAATCCCTAGTAGGAGGCCAGGTCGTATCTTGCTGTCTTGGTCGAGGCGAGAAAACGGTCGGGGGTACAGTGCAGGTCTGGGGTGGTGAATCACTGTGTGTACGATCAAAAGGATTTTATTCAGTCCATCAGACCAAAGCGTCGCGCAGCAACTCGCCGGCTAAGCTAAGAAAATATCATATATACAAATCTACGTATACACAAAAAGAAGCGAAATTTCCCACTCAAAAAGCATTCACGAAATCTCTTTTTCCATTCGTTTCATGCGACGACCGACTGGGGTTGGGCTGGCCGCTTACGCGAACTGGCGCGCGTGGCGGCGAGCCTTGGCCTTGGCCGAGGCGGCGCTCTGCTGCTCGAGCCACTGGATGAACGAGGACACGGTGAAGGTCTTGGGGAGGGTGGAGCCGGAGCCGGAGCCGGCGCCAGCGGTGGCAGAGGGTGTGGCCTCGGCGACGGCGGTGGCGGAGGCGGAAGCGGTGGCGGAGGGGACGGTGGACGAAGCCGGGGCGGAGGCAGAGGCAGAGGCAGAGGCCGAAGCAGCGGGGGACGACGACACGGGGGTGGTGGGGGTGGTGCCGCTGGCAGAGCCGTACAGGGCAGGGCCGGGGATCTTGTAGCCCGAGTCGTCGCCGCTGTAGGGGTTGTAAAGGATACCGGCGTCCTTGGAGGTGTACAGGGCGGTTCCGAGAACGCCCTCAGGGTTGTCGGAGCCGCCGCCGGTGATCTCGATGTTGAGGCACTGGGGGTAGTTCTGGGCACCGTCCTCCGAGCCGGCGCCGTGGAGAGCGATGGTCTCGTGGCGGAAGACGTAGTTGCCGGAGGCGAGGGTGGAGGGAACGGTCACGCTCCACGTGTTGTTGTTGGCAATCATCTTGTTGGACGCCCAGTCGTCAGTGAAGCCAGCCTCGTCGATCTTGACCCACTTGAGGGCGGTCTTGTCGGCGTCAGTGCAGTCAGCCTCGCACTTGGCGACGTAGGTGAGCATGGGGCCGATGTGGGACTCGGGCCATTTAGACCACTGGAAGTCGACCTTTCCACCAGCCTTGACGGTGGCAGAAGAGGTGCCCGCCTTGGAGTTCTTGTGGCAGACAATGTCGGCCGTGGCGTAGGCGCTGGGGGCGACGAAGCCGTTCTCGAGGTTCTCGGCGTACCATCCTGGTGTCTCAGGAGGAGTCTGGCCTTGCTGGAGCATGTAGTAGTACTGGAGATCGAAGCCCTTGGTGTAGGTGCCATCGGCAACAATGCCAGTGACGGTGCCGTGAGCGGCAGCGGTGGCCGCAAGGGCAACGAGCTTGAGGAGGGTGGAAGACATCTTGTTTGGTTGAGTTGACTAGTGGGGTCGAAAGTTGGGATGAGAAACTTGTTCGTGAAGTGAATGTTGTGGTGGAAAAGAGTGTCGGGCCTGCTTCACACGGTGAAGAGATGACTGAAAGAACGAATGTGGTGAAAGAATGAGAGGACTGGCGTAGAACCAAAAGACTGAAGCCTGCTGCGATGAGGATGCTCTTCCATTGGAGGCAGGCCTGCTCTATTTATCCAGCGACCATGCGCCCATGCGCCATGGCTCAATCAAGCGCCCACGACGGAGATCCTTGTAATTCGACGCTTCCGCGAGACTGGTGGAAAGAGTGGGGAGGAGCCCCATCGACTCTGCAATGTCTGCTAAGTTTCATCCGAACCGATATGAACGGGGTCTGACAGTGTTCCGTGAGCGTGGGTCCACGCGTTTGCAAAATCAAGCGAAGCTAGCGAACAGACATGGCGGTTGCCGAGCGATGCAAGTACCGAACAAGCCGTCGAGCATGAGCATGAAACAAGGAGTCCGCGCGCTTTGGAAATTGCGTTGAACCATGGCCTTTGCCAAGCCGTCACGGTGTTTCTGACAGTGGGGTCGGTGGACCAGAGCCTGAGCCACACCAGTGGCACCTGTCAAAGGAGTAGGGGTGTCCTGGTTGACATGGTGCTAGGGTGAAACTGCAATGCGAACGAAGTCAATGCCTCGGAAGAAAACTTGGTCATGTCGCAGGGAGCACATCGCGACCAAGGATCACGACCCGATGCCCGCCAACGGCTCACCGTATCTCCTTCCCCTGAATTTGACGCTCCCAAGAAATCTCGACGGCGAAGCCCGCGTGGAAAGTTGCGTTTGCCAATACCAAGCCTGAAACGGGCCCTCTGGAGGCTCTCATTGGCGCGAAATCCGTCCCATGCCACCTGAAACGCTTCCGTGCCGTACAAGCGAGCCGCACCGAAGTAGACCCACCGCAGCCGCTCGCTTCGCCATCTCGCCAAT